GAGGGAGAGAAAGAAAAACAACAAAGGATTTACAAGTCTAATGGGAGAGGAATGGCTGACACGTTGACTGCCTTCGACAAAAATAGAACCCAAGCGGTCTAAGCCCTGGGACGGACCCCAACCGAAAGAAAGGCGCTAGACAGACTAACGGCAAGCGAGATTAACAAAGCAGCTGGCCCTATGTGTAAAACCTTGCCGCGGGAAAGTCTTTCTCCAATGAGAATCAAGTTTTTGGGCAAGACAAGAAAGGAACTTGCCCTTTGACACCACACCAAGGGATAAGAGTTGATTGCTAGCGATGGCTTGGTGAAAGGAATCTATAAGAGAAGGTTCTCAAACCGGGTTCCGACCGAATAGAGCACGGAGCCAACGAGTCTTTAAGTAAGTGGGCGTTAAGCGTAACGAGTCTAAGGGCGGGATAAAGCTTGAAAGGAACGGACAGGCGTAGGCTTAATAGTGAACGCATACCCCCTGCTTATAGATATGAGATTAATGACTTAAAAGACAGATGTCGAGAGAAACTGTTAGACTTCTTTCTTTATTGCGTTACGAAGAGAGATCGAAGACGAAGATTTTCTGACGCAGTGCGGGCACTGGATGGAATAGACAGAAAATATAATAACCCACCGGAAGGGCATACCTCAGGAGCACCAATCTCCCCGGAAAACATCTATTTGCACGAAGCCGATATGAAGAAATATGAAAAAAAAGATGCTTTTGGAGTGTGATGAGATACGAAAACGGGGAGTACGCAGCCGAACAACCGCAGGGGCTTCCAGCAGTGATAGCTGAACTAACCAGATGGACGGCCCAAAACATGGAGCTGACATTTAAATAAATAGGAAATCAACGTCGGATCCCAGCTATCCGAAAAACGCAAACTGAAGCGGGGGATCACAAAAAAATGCAACATAAAAGGGGCGAACCAAGCGCTTGCGCGAAGGAAGAAGCGAATCAACCAGAATGGAGACAGGGAGGAGAGGCTAAAGAGATATTTTCGAGCCTGCAAAAAAAAAAGCAACAACGCCTGAAAAGCCTTTGCGCGCTAGCTTGCAATTTAGGGGGTATGGATGCCTCTTTCTAAAAATTATATTTAATATAAGGAAGAATAAGGCCCTTTTTTGGAGTTTTCCCCAACCTATACTTAAGGGCTTACGTTTTTCAGCAGCATCGCACTGCCGTATAAATAATGGATCCGCTGGGCTGGATGGGCTTCTCTGGAAAGGAATAAGGAATAGTGAAAAGCCATGTCAGTGGTTGCTTATTTACTTTTTTTTTTAGTAATACCACTTTGCTTTGGTAAGCAAAATTTAATTATATTATTATTATTATTATTATTATTATTATTATTATTAGGCATGGTAGCTTACAAGAGAAAAGTTAGCTTCTAGATGTTCTTTGCTTGAACATATGGAGGAAGAAAACTTCTGGCCTCTGTACTAGTAGTGGAGTGGCTTGCTACTTAAAATCATAAAAGGAAAATGGAGCAAGGCAAGGGAGAAATAAGTTGTCCCCTCTTTTTTGGTAACCTGCCGCCGGTCATAAAGAGTGATCCGCCCGCCACCGCATATGTAGAAAAATAGGGAGCGGGGAAGGAAGAACAACCGTTTGACTTTGGCACACGAGGTGGCGGGTTTGGCTAGGTAACATAATGGAAATGTATCGGACTGCAAATCCTGGAATGACGGTTCGACCCCGTCCTTGGCCTCGGGGAGTGGCGAGCAGCACGAAACTTTCATTAATCAAATGGCATAAAAAAAATGGGGGCTTTCCTTTGTTAGAAATCCACAGACAACATTCTGGAATTTCCAAACCAAAGAAATGCAACATTAGAAGTTTTACGTTACGCTTCAATAGAATTAATTCGGTAAGGGTAGAATACGCCCCATGGTCGATCGAAGGTCCTGTGCCACTTGAACTCAAATCTATCTTACCTTCCATCCATCTTTGTCCAGCCATCCTGCTCATAAATGTTAGACCAACCAATCTCAAGGCTGGCACAACCGAATTGGTTGAGGAAAAGGAAACCCCAGCGACCAAGCACTTCCGCCTCCAAAAGCAGAGACCGAACAACCGCCAGGTTGTCGAAGACACGTTTGAAGAGGAGGCGAGCGCCATCTAAGTTGACCACCCTACCCACTAATGGACTACGAGGGGGGCCAGGCGAACGGGAACCGACCGAGAACCCGAACCGCTTGACTGACCCCTTCATACATACTCGATTCGTTAGGGTCGGGGATGGATTAAACCAATAATAAAATAAGGGCAAAAAATCGCGCAAGCGAAGCCGAGAAACGGACCGCAGCACAACGACTAGGACTCGTGTCGGAGGAGTTTTGAGCGTGAGTTACCACTCATGCAGCGGCAAGGACCCACAACTCTCGAAGGGGCCACCAACCGCCCGAATCACTGTAGTGTATGAAAGCCTCCCTTTACTCAATGAATAGCGCTTATCCTCTTTCAATAAAAAAATGATAAATAGAGGAGAAAGAAAGAGGTATTTCTTGAAGAGGGCACCTAGGACTAATAAAGATCCAGAAGAATGGGTCTAGGCTTTCGAAAAGATGTAGGGTAAAGATAAAATATCTTTTGAACAACCAACCTAACATAAGGATTATAGCTCGCCCAGTTAGAGCAGATGGAGATTCTCGGACGGGGAAAAGCGGCACTCGACATCTATTAAACAACACCAAGAAAGAACAAAGTCATACCATGCCCTCGGGATAAACTAGTGATGATTGCCATGAATGCAGCCCTCTAGGACGTGTACAAGAAGGTCTTTGCCGATTCCTATCAACATGGTGCACCTCTAAGTAGAGGGGTGTGAAAACGCCGTGGAGACTTTGACTGAATGAATAGGTATCAATTGATAGACATTTTTATTGAGGAAGGTAATCCAGGATGAACGATTTTTTCGTTCGCTATGTGCTGACTGGATGCTCGCGTGATCGATGGACGAGGGAATTGCATGAATGACGAGACCGGCCTAACCGAAAGTCAAGGCTCTTCCCTCTCTTGATGGCGAATCTTGATTGACTGACTAACAGAACCGATTCGGAGAAACAAGAAGCATGGCATGAGATACGTGGCGGCTAAATTTGCGATAGCGAATTACATGACTCGATGGAGGGAGGTCCCTCCAACTCAAGCACGAAATTAATGTTGAGTCAACAATCATCTAGAGGGGCACCGCCAAGCGAGATCGAGACCAACACCTTATATATATAGGTTGGGGAAAAGCCTCTTGTATAGGGTTCCGTTCCAAACCAACGCTTCTTTTAATATCCCAACCATCAAGAAATTAGGGGCTTCAAAGCTTGACTAACAATCAAGAAAATTTACTTTGAGAAAGTTCTCCCAGCAAGAGGATGCGCAAACCTCCAAGTCAAGCGTGCTAGCACGCTTTACCAAGGCTTTCTCTGATAGGGGATTGAACACCGTTGCTTGTTTGGGTCGACGACTTCAAACCTTAGCCTATCTATACTATAGTAAGGGGCCTTTTCTTGCTCGTTAGCGCTGTTTTTTATTGCAGGGCGCTAGCTGTCAATAATATAGGGCTTTTTTCTTTCATCTTTCAGCTTAATCGGAATATATTCTATGATTGAATAGCAGAAGTGCTACTTAGTAGTATAAACTCGGAGAGACAAAGAGGAAATCATACCTTCTAACTCCTAGGATGATAAGTAGGTCCCTTGTTTTTGGCAGGAATAGTTCAATTGTTGCCCCTCGGGAGAGTGAGTCTACTTAGCGAACTGGCAAGACGCGGAGATCGATTGATCAATATGAATCTCGAGAGTGGATGGTTGACCGCCGCCCCCTTGTCCTGGAGGCTCTCCGGCGAGGAGGGGCTTGCTATCGTAACCTTTTCTCCCGGTGTATGTGAAAAAGAGACACGAACCTTTTTTTGTTCGGTCATAGGTTGGTGTTCAAATAACGAGAGTCGGCTTCCTTAACTTAAGTCTGTTGTTCCTAAGTAGCTCAGTGGGACATCAAAAGTGGGAAGTTTATTGTGTTTTTTTTCTATTTCTTACTCCCTTTTTTAGTTGAGGAACATGGCTCGTTCATTCATTCACTTGCTCATGAACTTGCAGCTTCGCCAAAAGCGACTAAGGGGGAGCTGTCGTAGAAGCTTTGCCCTTTGTACAGAGATTGTTATGAACTGACTAAATGACTAGCGGAATGCTAGCTAAGCTAAAAAATAGTATTAGTTCCTAAAATAAGCTTTATTTCGGGTTTTTTCCCTCCTTCTTAGAACCGGGGCCTCGGCCCAGGAAGGGGAGAGTGGCCCAGTGGTCAAAAGCGATAGACTGTAAATCTGTTGAAGTTTTTCTACGTAGGTTCGAATCCTGCCTCTGCCACTTGTTTGTTGTAGACTTCAAAGAAGAGAAAGGAGGCATTCGTCAGCGCAGGAAGGCCCACTGAGCGAAGCTCTTTCTTTTTTGCCATGCCGTGAAGTGAAATTGCATCATATGTTAGTTAGAGAGGTTGGCGAACTACTATGATCTATAGATTCCCCAGAGATAAAAAAATCCCAACGAGAATAGAAGCGACTCGCTTCCGTTGTAGCCGTCGTAGTCTTTTAGCGTAGTGGTCGGCCTTCCTACACGCACGCGCCCGCCATAATGCCTCCTTGGTTCTGGACGAAGCCAAGCCGATACATACGATAGGCGAAGGAAAGACCCCCATTTCATAGCGCCTAGGGAACGCTAGTTTGATCGAGGATTGGAGAGGAGAGGTGGAAGAAAAGGCTCGGGATGGTTTTAGGAGTCTTTGTGCGAGCCGTATGCGGTAAGAGTCGCACGTACGGTAATGAGGGGGGTTCGCATCTATACGTGTAGTGTGGTGGTTGGTCCTACCCACCCTATTAGTTCAATATGATCTATGGGTCTACTGGAGCTACCCACTTCGATCAATTAGCCAAGATTTTGATCGGATACAAAATAACTGGTGCTCGATCTAGTTGTATTTTTATGGGGATTCTATCTATCGCTATAGGATCCCTATTCAAGATCACTGCAGTTCCTTTTCGGGCGGCTGTAGAACGGACGACCGCGTATAGGTGGTAGGGTAGGGTGGGTGGTACCGCTCAGATTGCGGCCAATCTTCCTAACCGCGCACGGGCCGGGATTAGAGCACGTGAAACTCATCACTATCTCGTAAGGGCGTTGAGACCATAGCATATTAAACGAAAGCGCCGCTTTCTCTGTAGTGTTGTCACATAGCTGCGTGCCTAGAAGAGCCACTCGCTTTGTAGTGTTGTCACACAAGCTAAGCACGCAGCCAGCCAGCTGGCCGGGCGAATCGAAGTTATCTTCCGGTCAACTGTCCATCCATTCAAGTGCAAAAAACACAGTTGAATCACGCAACGCACGCTGCTGGTGTGCTTCCTGCCCGTGAGGAAAGAAGAGCGACAAGGTTTAGTTCAAATTTGACTGTTTGCAGCATGGGAGCGGATTACCCTAAAAATCCATGGGAACAATTTAAAAAAAGATATCTCGGTAACGAAAACAATAGGGGGTTGTATTGGTGAGATCCAACGGTGAACAGCTGTCTAAAAGAAAAACCGCCTAGAAGTCCGAGGACCTTTAGTACTGTACCTTACCCCCGAACCAGCAGCCTTTGCGCCAAGCAAGACCTCCCTTGTCCTTTCTCCATTCCGCTTCCTTCTTTGCTTTGTTCCAATATAGTCTAAGGCAAAGGAAAAGTGGGTTCGTATGCCTACTTTACCTATTTGACAAAAGGGAATGAACTTAGTTTCGTTTCCGGGTTTATGGATTGGATTCAGTCAGCGTCACGACATAATCAAACAAAAGGAAGGAGTGACGCTTTGGTTACCGTAAAACGCTTCCAAAGGCGACCCTCTCGAGTTTCCTATATTGAAGTAGCCTTTCTTTCGTCGCCCTACCAAACAAAAGAAGTAACTATCAAAAAGCTCGCCCTACTGAAGTACCAAAGGTGCGCACCGCCCGGTGACTCAAAAAGAAATGGGTTTGCGCTTTGAAGTGATGAGGTCGCAAAGAGGGAAGTAGGGCTCCTATTGACTAAAGTTTGGTTCTTCGGTTTCCTTTAGAATGAAAGTAGCTATGAAGCCCCTACTACTTATACTGACTTTGTTTGATTAAAAAGGCGAACCCCAACTAGTCGTATGGGGTGGGGTGCTTGTGGTAAGCTGCCTTAGATATGAGTCTGAGGAATTCCTAAAGGCAAAGTCCGGTATTTGACGAAGATCTTTCTATCAATAGATAGGATTTAGTGTTTGATATAGAGGATAGGATCCATCTTCTCTCTCTCTCTTAGTTAGGTTTTTTTTTCTTCAGTGCAACACAAGAAAGCGCCCTCTTTTTGTCATCCCTGCAGCTTTCCAGATTATGTATTGAACGTATGACGTAGCTAGGATCTGAAAATAATGTTTGAGCCTAGCCTATCCTATGTTCAAACCAACCAAACCCACCCCCATTTAAATAAGGCTGGAAAGAATGCCCGCCAAGTTCAGATAAGGGAATGTTTCCCCCAACCATTAAAGGAAAGGCTCGACGAAGGGAGGGAGATGCGACGGGGGAAGCAAAACGCTTTCGGAGGTCGATATTTTTTTTTCTTTTTCATCGAAAACGAAGAAGGCCGAGGATGGCCTACGGTGCGTGTTATCTGAAGGGAACACGCTTTTTGCGGTGGTATGATTGATTTTATTGTCGGGCCCTCTCCTCGTTCCGCCCGCAGGCCTATTGGGATAGCAGCCTTTGTTGCCTGCCCTTTATATCTCGGCCCGGGAAAGCGCTGGCAACAACAGAAAGGAAGGGGTCCATGTAGTGCGTCCGCCCCTGTTGCACCTTAAAATTTGCCCAACCTTATTCCTTGGTTTATGTTTTAATGTCATTAGCATTTGCATATAGAGTCATGTACATAGACTAACCATCTGCATAGCATAAGCATAGCAAGTCATTCAACAGGGGACCAATCATTATTCTCATCCCTGGAGGCATATCAAGAGGTTATTATCTTAATTCAACCTCATTCAAGTCATCAGGAAAGAATTTGAAAACAAAGAGTGCAGCAGATCAAGCCTTGAGTCCATCTCCTAGCTGAGGGTATCTGAGGATCAACAAGAGGGTTGTGAGCTGTGGATTGAAGGCATGGAGAGTAGCTAGACATCATGAGAGACTTAAAAAGTCATTTGGAGAAGAAAAATAAGTCATTGATGAGAGCACAAGAGCTACAGTTGAAGACAGTCAACTAGGGTTTCATCTGGGTCAACCCTAGGTCAACCCTAGGTCAATTGACTGACTTAAAAGGGCATTCAAGTCTATTGGAGAGGTGTGGGGTTCATCATTTGACATATGAAGAAGGATATGGAGATATGCCAAGAAGAATTCAAGAGAGATCAAGGAGAAGAGGAGTTTCTAAATTAGGGTTTCTCTGTAAAATCCCCTAGTTTAGGTCAAATTTCCAAGCAAGATAAGTCAAAATGCTAGCTTCAAATGGCTTCTTGGCCAACATGAAACTTGTAGAGGATCTCAAGACCTTTAATTTGAGTGGTGGAAGACATCAAGGAGATTTATAGAACTCAAGTTATGGTCCTTGCAAGTTACAGGTCATCTGAGGTATCTGAATTTTTGTCTGTGAAAGTGACTTGACTTCCAAGCAATTTTTGCCCCTCAAGGAGATTTCAAATGAATTCTTGGTCAACATAAGAATTGTTCCTCATTGTCTTAGCTTTCTAGAATGGTATGGTATGCCTTCATATGATGTGTGGAACTCAACTTATGGTCTTGGCAAGCAAAGGGTATTTTGGGCATTTGTGAATTACAGGTCATTTTAACCTATGTCCAAAACTCATACAGGGAGGCCTCAAATGGAAAAACTTACAACATCAAACTTGCTCCAAATGGGATTTTAAGTCTAGAAAGAAGGTCACAAATTATTGGAAAGGCTCATAACATGAAGTTGCATAATTGGTCAAAGTATGAACTAAAATGGCTTATAAAGTGAATAAATTCAAGATGGAAAATGGTTTGGGAGATTTACAAGTACAAATGGAGACTTCCAATATATGATTTTGAATGGAAAAACAATTCTAAGAACAATGGTTCAAACACTTTTTTGAGTTTAGAAGGAAAAAAGAAAGTTATCTTTGGTTACTTGTAATTGAAGAAACATAACCAAAATGGATTAAAGTTGGAAAACAAGGGAATGTGCAAGATGGATCTAGAATGTTCATATGAGGTCTATATTTTCATGAAATGTGCATTGATCAAGGGTTGGCTTCATTTTGCACCAAGAATTTCACAAATTCCCTCATTCTTTCTCTTTGAAGTTTCATTCCAATCTCACAAATTCTTCACAAAATCATCATCCACATCAATTCAATCTTGCTCCATCATCATCCTAGATCAGAATTGAAGCAAAGTTTTGGTGATTAGGATCCATTTTCGAGCACCTTTTTCATTAACATCAAAATTGGAGCTTCAAGTGGACAGCATAATTCAAGCCAAGAATCATCACAACACTGCATACAGAATCAATACCTGAGTAATTTGATCAAGATTCAAGCCTTGGAAGCCTCAGATCCTCAATCTTCCATAGCTGTTTTCAAGCTTTTGCACCAGGTGAGTTTTCATTCACACAGCTCGATCTAATTAGTTTAGCATGTTGTTGTTAGTTTAGATCTGATCTAGGTGGTTAGGAGAACAATTAGTATGAATTTGGAGTGATTTGGTGACTATAGTTAGCAGGTGCCATAAACTGTTAGGGCTTGAATCTATTAGGTTAGTGCATTAGAAGGTTAGGTTGATAGCGCAGGTTAATAACCATTATGCATAGAGTAGATTAGGGTAGGTTTGGTGGAGAATTATCATGATGCATCTCAGAGTAATCTCATGATAACCAGAGTTTGCTGCGCGCGGGTTTGTTGTTGTGGTGAGTTTCAAATTGATCTAAGGTCATAGGATTGTAGAGGGAAGAATTCTAAGCATTTTTCATGTTCACATCGTGTGGATTGGTTGCCTGTAGAGTGAGAACAGAGGGAGAGAATTTTGGCTCGTGCATGGTAGCCATGGTGAAACCCTAAGTTTCAGTTGGTCCATTGAGGAAGACGTAATCCTACCCGTCCAATGCGTGTGAAGACTCTTGACTTGGAGAGGAATCCAATGGCCCATATTCAATTCTGTTTTGGAGGGAGTTGACTGGGTGCCAAACGCACCGTTTCATTAATTGAAACGGGCGGGCCTCAGGATGTTATGCTATCCCCACCCCCAATGTTAAGCCCAATTGCAATCTGAACGTGTTTTTGATGCTATTCTCACCCCCAGCGCTCCTTTATTATTTCATTGTTTCTGAAGTTTTCTGGGCCTAAGCTAAAGTGCTTTTCACACCCCTGGCTGTGTGGCCCATTCTGGATTTAAACTGCGCGTGGTTTCTAAATACACCCCTCCCTCATTTTATTTGGTTTAATTGTTTTTTATTCATTTTAATTTTTTTACCAACTTCAAAAATTCATAATAAATGCATAAAAATTCATTTTTAATCCATTCTTTTTACAATATTTTCTTTAGGATGTGTAGAATATTATAGGAAAATAAAATTGCATTTTTATTTCATATTTTTTCCATATTTTCCAATTAAATGTCATTTTTAAATAGTTCATTTCATGCATCATTTTAATAATTTTTGTTCTATCAAATGCTTTAGTATTTTTTGTTCATTCTTTTTATATTGTTTAGATTAGATGTTCAACTTGTAGAAATATTTTAGTTCCCTTTTTTAGGAGTTAATTTTAGGTGATTAATGAATGCTTGAACAACATGTACAAAACTAGGGTTTTAGGTGACAACTTAAGAAGTTTGATTTCATTTCCCTTAGGACTTAGGATTTAATTAGATTAGTTATGGGACTATAGGGGCTATGGGTAGGTACTAGATCCCTTAGAGAAAAAGTCAAGATTCCCCTACTGCTATTAATACTGTCTGTGGATATTTGATTGTCTGGTGTGGTGTGCCCTCTGGGGATATTTGCTTGCTTGTTGGGTATGGGGGTTTATCTGGGGCCCTGGGTGAGCTGAAGACTTGTGAAGATGAAGACCATTGGAGATTCAAAGATTGAAGATCAACTTCCAGAGTTGAAGAGAAGATTTCTGCTAGCAGATGCTGAGGAGACTAGGGTTTAGGAGCTAGGCAGAGCTCTAGATTAGAATGATTGTTTTTCAAACATGGATTGCCTTGCCTGCATCCATTCTTCTCTGTGATTCAGAGTCTCTCTAGGACACTCACCCCCTTCCTTTGGAAGGCTTGGTGATAGTGTCTATGAGATAGAACTCTTGAGAGAAAATGTCTCTTGTGTTAGAAGCAGTCTGTTCACCACCTTTGGTAGTCAGCTGATTGCTTAACACCCAATTCACTCTTGTGACTAATCCCTCATCCTGGAGGTTTGAGCTTGAAGAAAAGCCATTGCAGATGGAAGAAAGATGATCAAAGCCCTTGCCTGAAGGTCATGAAGATGGAGATTGATGCTTGTTGAAGCCTGCAGCTGATTGGAGATTACTTGAAGCCAGATGTTGATTCAGAGCTGCTGATGCTGTTTCTTTTGCTGTTGTATTTCATTTGCTGATGTATTGATTGGTTTTCTGAACTGTATTGTTTGCTGGTTACCCTGTTGGGTTGAAA